ATGCATTTCACAGACAGACAGTTTCAAGTCGAGTTAAAGCTATGAGTATGATTGTTTTGTGCTGCCTTAAGCATCTCTGACTAAAGCCTGAGTTTCCCTAGGTTTTATTCCACTGTTTCTGGACCTAAATGGCTGTTATGGCAAACAGGGACAGCTGGAAAATAGCAGGACACAAGCTATGCCCAGCTTTTAGGCATCGTCAGTCTCATGGTTAAGAAAGCGGATAGCTACATCAGTGCTTGTGTTAACTTCTGCAATCTTCCCAGTTTGGAAGGATTCTCACTGAGCTCATTTCAGGCTCTTTTATTCAAACAATAGGAGGAAAAGCATGAAAATGGATTTGTTTCAACCTATTTTTACAACATTTAGTTTTCCCCTCACTGCTTCTCATTTTACTTTAGAGATCTCAGTTTTTACTCATGAATGAATAACTACGAATCCAGGATAGAGGAATGAAAGACATGCAGTGAAACACAACAGATTCTTAGAGTCTGTAGGGTTGATTCTAAAGAAAGGAGTTTTAATTATTCCTGTATAGGTTATTTAAAATCATTGATGATTGTATTTAAACAGGAGGAAACCAAAATGAAAAACGACAGATAAACTTCTAAGTGTACCACCTTCATGTAATGCAGTACAGCCTAAGGTGCACCTGATGAACACAATTCTTTACAAACAAAGCACATTTAACTGGAAGGAAAAAGACTGGTTTTAGAGCTTTAACAATCTTATCACAGGAACACTGTTTATTAATTTTTATGATCAAGTACCTCTGCAAGTATTAGGAGGAGACCTGCTTTTCATGTACCCATATTATTTTCTGGTATTTGCCCTGATAGAGCATAGCAGTGTTTAAAGGATTATTTATACAGATGACGAAACTTTAAATCATGTGACTGGATGTGGCATCGTCTTTACAAATTAGAGAAATGGGTTCATGCAGCAAAATTCCCATCAGGGATAGATTCCAGTTTCCAATGCTCCTAAAATATAATGCATACTCCATGTTCTGTACTTGCAAACATGGAACAACTACCTTCCTTAGAAAGACAGCCACCGACTACAAAATATAAAATAAGGTTAAAGCAAAGATTTTGAAAATCTATTAGGAAAAAATTCCAGCCTTTCTAGTAGTTTAATATAGTATTGTTTAAGATAAACTGGACAATGTGTCAAGATTGGTAAGAACAACACTGCCCTAAAGAGATTGCAGAGTTGATAATGAAGTAAACGTGAGCATGAAAACGTAAGCAAAGCATGAAAAAATTCTTGTTAAGGAAGTACTAAGTCCTGCCACTATCAACTAAGATAAGCAGTATTTTGAAAGCAGATCTGCAGAACCAGTCAGTGCGTTTACTAACTTCATTATTACTGGAGCAGCAGAACTTGTACTCGAAGGTATGGAATTATTATGTATTGAAGTAATAAAAATTGAGAGATTGCAGCTGACTTTTACTGAAGATAATAGGCTTACAGACTTCTGCTTAGTTCTCTTTGACACAGAAGGGAATATTTGGCATGACCAAACATTAAAAGAATACTTATAAAAAGAATTTCTTTATCAAACAGTGTGTACACTCATAAGGGATAATTCACCATGTTTCAAAGAATGATGATGCAGAATACAGGGCTACAGAGAATATAATTTACAATATAATTAAAGCTTCAATGTCTTGAGCAACTCAACATTCTGCCAAAATCAGTATTTTTGAAATACTGAGAAGTAATCAGGGACTGTGATGACACCAGAGGAAAATGCAGGAAACAGATCACACTTGTGATGAAAGCTGTAACTTATGGTAGATTGATATCCCTTTGCTGGAGGAGGAATGACTCTCAACAGAAAAATTATGCCCTAAAAACTATGCCTGAATAGTAAGAGAAGCAGAAAACTGTAGCCTAGAAGTAGTTTCTTGGAACACACAGGAACAATTGCAGAGCAGAAAGGGAAACCCACCAAAGTTCAACACTGTTTTTTTAATGTTTTTATATTGTTCATCCCTGACATACCCATCTGTAGGAAAAATTGCTAGGCCTCAAGGGCAAATATTGTGCAGTTTACACATGACTGTCTTGTGAGAACCTAGAACCCAAGCCTCCAGTCAGAAACAAGAACTGTCTCTGTCACACAATATCTGTAAATTACCTTCAATGAATACCATCATATAGAGATCTCCAAGGGTAATAGCCTTCTTACACTCTACCTACATTACACTGGAGTCTGGCCAGTTTTTAATTTAACTTACACAAACCTTAATCAGAAATAGCCAAGGTGAATGAAGTTACACTGGTTTTATACAGCAATACAAGTAACATCAAAATCAAGTTCTAGATGAGCAATGAAATCTCAGGTGGATATAAAGAAGCACAAGTTGATTCACTCGAGTTTTAATAACTTTCTTTCTTTTTTTCATTATTTTTATCTTTACTGAATATTCATTATTTACTTTTAGGTTACTACGCAGTTGACTGTACTTTCTATCAGACTACTACTCTTGATTTTTATTCAGACAATCCAGTATGGTTTTGTCTCATTCTCTTTGTGTGGCCATTTCTCCATCATTTCTTATGGTTGTATTTTTGACCAGAGGGATTTTGAAATGATATGGTACTTTGATTGTTTTTGTGAGGCATGATTGAACTTTATTTTTTTCCATTATATTATGCTGAACTCTTGCAGCTCCTTGCATCAGCTAACACTTTGTTTTAAAAAAAGGTTACCTAGAGTTTAAATAGCCTTCGAATATGCAGCACATTTCTACACAAAGACTGCAAATCAAGGGCCATTTAGTCAAGATGGTTCCCAAACTTAATAGACTAAACTAGCGTAATCAAAAGTAAGAGGTGCTATCCAATTTTTCTGCAACTCCACAGGTTTTAGAATTACTGATGTTATTATATGATGCTCTTAATGTTGGAAAACTGTGGGAGTACAGGAGAGGTTTGACTAAGAGCAGTGGAAAAAGGACATAGAAATATGTGAAGAAATCTATGGAACTCCTGTGGAAAACACCTTCTTTACATTCGTCTAAGGAAAGTTAATACTCTTCATATTCATGTTCATGTTTAATGTTTGTTGTATTTCATCCTTCATTGTACCCTTACTCCTCAGTTTTTTATAAAACCCCTCAGTGTTCTGCACCCCAGTTTTCTCCCTTTCCCCTGATTGGTTAGGATTTGCTGCACTGCAGTACCTAATTAATTAGTAATCCCTTATGGTTATCTCCTCCCATTTTCCCTCTTCATTGGTTCATATTAGCATACTCCTCCCCAACTCCTCCCTAGTTCCGCCCACTTTTCCAGTACCTTCGGTTCCCTACCCTATTTAAGCAGAGTTCTCCCTCCAATAAAGTGCCATTTTACCCTCCATCTCCGAAGTGGCCAGACTCATTCCCTTGGGCTGCAACAGAAAACTGTGGCAATATGAAGTGCTGAAATAGTTGGAGAACACAGTTTTCTTTTGGGTTAACAAAAAACTCAGCTACCTTATTAAATTGAGACATTTAAGAGGGAAAGTGTGGGAAAAGGAAACCAAAACACTTTATCTTTCTTTTCTTTCTCTCCCCATTGATCAGCACTGACTGAAAGTTAAGTGCTTTTGAGAAACAATGGATGGACAGACATCTGGTCAACTTTGAAGCTCTGATGGTATGGTTACAGATTAATTTACAGGTTTGATTACACAGTTAGGTTTTATAAAAGGTTTAAGTTGTATTCCTCAGTACAATGGCATATCACCAAAGAAAAACATCAGGCACAAAACCAAGGTGCAGTATATCACACCTAAACATAAATGTTGATGTGAATAGAAATCATCAGAACTCCCGGAGCAGGTGTCAATCTTGCTTTGTTGCTGGGAGGATAAAAATTATGCTTTGGGATATATATTGCTCCTTCCAAAGAGAAAGCAAGCAAACAAATGTTCTTGGTTCTTCCCTCAGGGAACAGAATAAATGATTAAGAACTGGTGTCAGACAGCATTAACCAGCTCAAATATCCAAGATCATACAGCCAGAATGATTTGAAAAGGAATATTTAAATTTAGTTTTCAGGTAAACACTGATTTCACCTTCCTGTTTTGATATGAGATAATCTTAAAACACCATTATCTGCAAATTTAGCCAAGTTGCTTTCTACTTAAAAAATGTAAGGGGAAGATCACCACTGCCTTTCTTCTGCAAGGACTTACTTATACTTCAAACAGCAAAAAAAATTTAAAAAATCACAGATACTTCCTGTCCCATCTGTCACTGATTCTCTATCATCTGTTTATTATGCATAAATTATTTCAACCTAAAAGACATATCACAGTTTTAACTACCGCAACAGATACAATCCTGACTGAGGAACCGCATGAACTAGAGGAAATTGCAGGAATTATAAGGTCTTGTAGAAGTCCTGAGAAATGCTATGTTTCTGAAGGACATCTCAGAGATTTTTTCATAGAGAGAAATCTCTCCATTTGCTTGGAGAAGCAGGACACCACTAATCTGAATCACGAGTTAACATACTCTGTGTGATTTTATTCTAGTCCCTATCCATCCCCCCTTTCCTTCTTACTTTCTCCAAGAAAAGGTTCACACAATAGTGTGCTTCAGTGGAAGTCCAAGGAAGTTCATGGAAGAATTTACAGTGGACACTTTCAAAGATGAACTTGCAACACAAGCCATAACCAAGACTATCTTATTTCATGAATGCAAAGACCAGATAAAGAAAATTCTTTTTACCTCTTCAAATGAACAACATCTAGTGTAAACTAACACATTAAGCAGATGCAAGTATGAAGCAGATTCTGGGAGACATGTCTGCTTGATGCAGTTGTGAATACATTGGCTATTTAAAACTCACTATCATAAAAAATCAGCCACTCCCTCAGAAATACTTATGATCCTTACATATAGCTTTGAGTCCTTTTTATTACCTCTATTATCTTGTTTTGAGAAAAGCTATATTGCATATGGTTTCAATTCTCTGGAGTTTACATAACAACCATACTACACCTTAAATGTATCTTCACTGCTGGGATTAAACAGCTGGTGTTTCCCAGATCCCAAAATAATAGGACCAGAAGCTTTGTTTTCTCCATAAGCGTAAAGGGATACTGTTGCTGTTGTGCCAGCTGTTTCAAAATCTCCAGTGACTACAGTAATCTTCCAGTCTCCTTCTGTAAAGTAAAAAATAAAGTCAAAATGCTTGTATAACTGGTACTTAAATGTTGCAATTTACTTGAAAGATATAAACAAAAGCATAGTTTGGCTCAAGGACCATGACTACAATGTGCCTAAACGGTAATGAGGAAGAGGCAACAGAAGATAGGCTAAATAGTACATCATTCAAACTCGTCTTAAGCAAGTTGTGGATCAAGGATCTAGGATTGCAGAAAATAGGATAGCTGGAAATATGAACCCAGAACTCAGTGAAATTTCTAGTGATAACCCTGTTGCTCCACATGGAAGAAGACCAACATCCAGAATTTAGATTATGACAATACATATGACCAAGAAATGCATCAGGACAAATATCAAAACATCCCAATTAAGTAAAATTTCCTCTCATTTTATGTTGATGTGGCACATCAACAGAGCTCCGATTGCATGGCTGGAAGCATGACATTGAAATCAGCATGGAAAAAAAAGAGATTTTGTAGAAAATTCTGAACGAGACGAGGACTCATTAGAAAATCATTTTATATAAAGCTCCCTGACACTAAAATGTCATCTTTGCTCACATGCAATGTACACAAATTATTTATATATTCAAAAGCAGCTTAATATAAATCTTATTTTGGAAAAGAACAATTCATAATTGTAAAATGCATTTCTGCATCTGAAAAGCTGGGATTGCACGCTTCTCTGCCCCTCATTGATTGCAGCTTTTGTCTGTGTGAAACAAGTTCCACTTAGCAACTTAAATTCATTCTGTGCAAGACAAACAACAAAGGAAATACCAGCCCACAGTCATCTTATAAATAAATACCATAGCATACACTGCAGTTTTATTAATAGAAAGCTGTCTGGTAATGCCTTCCTGATTAAAATCTGTTGTCTGACAGAAACATTTATCTTGGGCCAGCCCCATTATCACTCAGTAATTTGCCCTGCAAAGATTGAACTGGACCAGGAAGTTTGATCTCCTGTTTTCCAAGTTTTTTGATGTCTGACCAATGCCTGGTTTTGGAAGGTGGTAGGTTTTTAAGCACACGCAAATACACATCTGGGAATTCAGAAAGCAGCTGAAGTTTATTTGGTCCGACCAATCAAACCTGGCCAGCTGGTTGAGGGAAGGAATTCTCCCCCTGTACTCTACTGTGATGAGATCCCATTTGAGTACTGCAACCAGCTCTGGGGACCTTTATATAAGAAGGATGGGACCTGTTGAAACAGATCCAGAGAAGGGCCATGAAAATGCTCAGGAGGCTGGAGCACCTCTCCTGTGAAGGTTGTTCAGCTTGGTTCCAGGCAGAGCTTATTGCAGCCTTTATTAAAAGGACTTAAAAGAAAAGCAAAGAGTTTTTACAAGGACGTGTAGTGATATGACAAGGGAAAGTGGTTTTAAACTGAAAGAGGGTAGGTTTAGACAAGACATAAAGAAGAAATATTTTTACTACAAGGATGATAAGATACTGGAACAAGTTGCCCAAAGAAGCTGTGGGTTCCCCGTCTCTGGAAGTGTTCAGGGACAGGTTGGATGGGGCTTTGAGCAACCTGGTCTGGTGCAAGATGTCCTTTTCCATGTCAGAGGCATGTACTAGATATCTTTAAAGATCTCTTTCAACTCAAATTGTTCTACAATTCTATAAAGGAAGTGAACCATGCAAGTTCTGCCAAAAGTTGTTAAACTCCAACTTGTAAGAAATTCTTTTGTGCCTTTGAAAATCTGAATCTTCACAGCCTTCTCTATAGACCCACCTTCTTGAAAAAAGAACCATAGTGCCAGACAACAAAAGGATAAACATTAATTAGAAGAGTGAAAAGCCTCTATACGCTGAAACTGGAAACACAGAGCGTAAGGCAAGGGCTTCCTGCCCCATAGAAGAAGAGCTTGCTTATAAAAAAGTCAACCTCCTTAAAGGCAAAGTTCCTTTGGACCATTTGGTTGGAAAATAAGGACAATTCCATTTACAAAGGCTTATGAAGGGTGGTGCAGACAAAGGGTAAAATATGACCCACTACTCTGCCTAAAAATTAAAAAATCAGTCAGAAACAAATACTCATTTCAAAGCAGGTAAAATTTATTTTCTTTTGGACATGTTCATTGATTAATTGTGCCTTGAGTGTTTTTGATGGCCATTTCTCTTGTATTATCCCCTCAAAGTCTATCTTTTATTAAGCAATGGAGCTTCAAAATGATGCAGTTGCTACTCTTGAGACTGTATGTTCTACCTAGCTCATCTTCTACCTCCTACGGATAAGTTTAGTATCACTAAACTGTTTTGCACACAATTACCACTGTGAAGGTAAAATAAGGAATCAAATTTCACCAAAAAAATGATTAAAAAGAGTTTTGGCTTGAACTCCTCTATATTGATTTTGAGTCTTTTTCTTTTTTCTCGAAACAGAAAGGACTTGTGTTTGAAAGACAATGTGGGTATAGGAAAAGAATCCTAAAATTTCTAATCTGATGCCCAAAATTCTCATTGCATTGCATGCTTCCAAATGGAAGCTGGAAACAGTATTTCAAAAATGTAATTCTTGTTGGTATAAAAAGCTGGGGTTGTTCTGATGAGGTAGAATACCAAGAGTTCCTTAATGGCTGAAGAGGAATACACATTAAGGGGAAAATAATACAGAAAAATATGTAATGACATGGCATTCCTTTAGCATACATGGAGAAAAGGTGCAATCTAACACCATATACCTCCCTGGGGACATCAGAAAGTGGTACCTTGCCACAGATGACTTTCTAGATTTATTTTTTTTTCTTTTATAGAACAATACAACACACTAGAAAGTTCTAATTCTCAGAAAAATAATTCTGTTTAAAAAAAATTATGTAGAATGAAGATGAGATATAATTAAAAGCTTATGGGAAAAAAGTAGGTGAACAAAATCTCAGATGAACCACTGAAGCAGGAATTGATGTAGTCCCTCTAGGTGTAGGACACGCAATTTCAAGTCTCCCACTGTTCCACATTTTACCGACTGTCCCAAACAAGACTTTATTTGTTGCATATGCTTTTGGCTGCCTAACTCTGATTGAGACATTTGCACAGCTTAAACAACATAGCATAGAGACCCAGCTATAGGTGCAGAAATGACTAACCAGACCAATTTAAGAGGATCTCCAGGTGCAGGCCATGAGAAAACAAGGTGTGCAGAACAGCTGAAGCACAAAGAGTGATGAACAGACCAAAAATGAATGCCTTCTGAAAAAAGCATAGGCAGGAAGAAAAGATACTTTTGGTTCAAAATAAAGTTTATAATAGTGGGATTCTAGTATAATTTATAAAATAACTGGGCACACATTTTACTGTTAAACGTTTGCCATAGGAACACTGTTTAGGACAAGGTATTTATGTCTTTGTGGATATCTTGATTGATACAATAAATTTTGAATAAACATTTTCAAACTTTCTCCCAACACCTTCTAAATCATTGTTCAACCTACAGCATGAAGCACTTCTCACAGCTGAGAAATTCTAATGTGTTATTAAGAAATTTAATTTAATCTGCTCTGGTTGCAGGGACAGAAGAGGCAACCTGAACAAATATGAAATCAGAAGTAGAACAGAAAACAAAAAGTTAATGTTGAGAACAAAACTATATATAGCCCAGGAGAGCTAATCATGTATTAAAATATTAACTATAAAAAAATGAAATTAAGATAGATCACCAGTAAGTGTTAGAAGAATAAAAATTTTTCAAACAAGCAGAGAAAATTAATACTATGGAAAGAAAAATGACAGAATAAAAAGAAAGCATAAACAAAGTTATTTATTGTTTAAATTAAAATGTGAACCTCAGAGTTTACTAAAATGTATGAATAGTGTGCTGTAATTAATGTTTTAAAATAAATACAAATGGAAGCAAACATGTAAAGCAATTAGTTCTGAAACAGAAAGTCTTCATTAAAAGAAGAAAACTAGAGCAGCATTTACCATTTGCCTCTTGAATTTTCAGATGCTGATTTTTTTTAAACTCTGCCAAAAAAAAAAATCTGTTAATAGAGGACCTATCCTTTAACACTAAAGAAAAGGTTTGAAAGAAGAGATGAAAAAGACATTCCGTGTTTTACCCGATACAAGAAAACCCTTTCTCATTCATTCCCTCCTTACTTTCTCACTATCACTTGTAGCAATTATACTATTTAACACAAATTGTGTTCTCTCAGAAATATAGCAAAGGAAGCAGCAAAATGGTTAATTTTGATATTTACAGTGTAACTTCAGCCCAGATTTCTTCAGAGGCAAAAAATTACAAATTATTGTCCTTATTTCCATAAAGTTACAATAAACCTTACCTTGAGGGTACAGCTCAATTTCTGATTGGATTATACCTTGGGACATAAATGGAATCCACCTAAGAATAAGAAAGAAAATAAGAAAGCAGGTAGGAATCAAATTTTTCTCCACTATATTACCATATAACTGAATGATCCACATCTGATTTTCCTACTGAATACATATAACAGCAAAGGGTCTCTACTTCTAAAATTTTAGTATTAGATTTGATAGATGTTAAAATAGAAATCATTTGCTCAACAAAGAATTTCATTTGTGCAAACATAAGATCTTTGTAACTGTAAAATTCACCTCTATCAGATTAGGAGACTCATGTGGCACTACTGTACTTGTTCCTATAGCTAAATAGAAGAATATGGCACAGAACATATCTTCAGTACTATGGATTTAGTAGTAAGTATAATTTGTATGTATCTATCACACTATTTCTTAAAATCACCGTTCAGTGTTAAAAACAAAGATGGAACCAAATATTACTCTTTCTTATTCCTCCTACAAATTGGGGACAGGTAGATGAGTCTGAAAAAAAAGACAAATCAAGGCAAACATTTGTTAGGTTTCTTAGTAATGTTACTCAAGGCTATGGATAATTTTGAAACCTTGTTATTCAGAATATGGATCATCAACAGTTTTAGCTTCCTCTTGTTTGGTATAAGATCAGCTGGTTTTTACAGAAAAAAAATGCAGCAAACTTCTGGGCTGCTGTTTTTTGTTTCCTCGGTACACTTCCATGGACTCTCTAGGAATGACCTAAAGCATTCTGTCTCCTATGAAGCCTGTTGGGATTCCAGTATAAGCTGGACAAGTTAAGTCCAGAACAACTTTTGAAGGTTCCTTATTTTTAGTCTTGAAAATATTAGCTGGCCAATCCATAGAAGCACCAGTCCCTAAGAAATAATTTTTTACTAGTCAACTACTTATTTCTATCACTTCTGCTATAACCTGATCACACAGGCATTTTCTGCAATCCTAAATGCTAAAAGGTGTCAGTAACTAGTAAATACTATATAACTGAAATCAAGTAAGAGCTGTTGGATGTTCAGAAACTAATATCAGATTTTCAAGATAGCTAAATGCTTATGTTTCCTTGGATAAATGAGAACAAAGACAGCACTTTGTTCGTATCCTGGATCATAAAACACCTATGTAAAATAAAACTGTGAGGCTGAACATTAATAAACTAAAGAGCTTTCTGAAGAGCCCAAGCTTTCCTCCCTCTTGAACAGAGCACAGTCTTTCAGCTTCACATTTTGCCAACATGGAAGCTACGCCTCACCCCACCACTGACCTATTTTAACCCCTTTTCAGTGGCAGTGTTTCCTTGTAGAAAAGTTAGAAAAAAACCCACAACTTTTGTTTCTTTTTGGCAGTGTCTATCACAGAATAATTTTTGCTGATCAACATCTGGTGTTAATTACCACAGAATTAATACAGCAAAGTGTCTGCCATTCATGGTTCCTAAGCCATGTTACCCACTGGAGGACAGCCATGACACAGAGTTGATTTTTTGTGTTTGAGGTAGGAAGCTGGCCTAACTTCTCTGTAGAACTTCCATTAGGAAATTTTACCTATTTTTTTTAGAAAGTTAGCAACTCCAGCTAGCAACAACAGCTGGTCTGCATCCAAATCTAGTCCAGAGAAATCCTCAGTCTCATACTACTATTTAAAAAATATGTTACTGATCGAAGAAAAATCTCAGTTTTAGAGTTTTACCAAGGTGACACAGCATCTTTATTCCTATTTTTGAGGATGTGACACCAAGAGCTGCAAGAAACTGTTCAAGGTTATATCACAAATTCATTAAAATCCAGACAAAATAACTAGGCAACCTGCATTTATTAAATATTATTAATTAAATATTATTTACTCTAGTGCCTTGTCACATAGTCGTATTGTTTCTCTACGCTTCCTTAATTTCTCTTGAGTGATGCACATAGCCATGAAATAGACTGCAAAGTGGAAACTCTAAATGTGGGATTACCATATTTCTCCAAACATGCAAAATTCAGTATTTCTCAATTGACTTTTAAGATGCTCATTTAATAACCTAAATGGAACAACCACAAAATAATTCTGGGTATCACATTTCTCTCTCTAGCTATGCTGTTGTTCATAAAGAAAGTGAATGCTACTTCTGCACTGCAAATCTGTTTTCTTTCCCATTTAGAAACACACTTAATTTAGAACCTTTTTGTGTGCTTTATCTTTCCTTCCTGAGAGGTAAGTCACACTTACAGCACTGATCCTGATAAGGCTGTACTCTGCAATCTAGTGACATAAACGCTGTATAAGCATTTAACCTTTGCTATGGACCATACAGCACATTAACTGAAGCAATCTGTTCTGGAACAACACATGTTATGGGTTTAATGAAACTGCAAAATAATCCAAATTTGTCTTTCCCCAAAAAACTCACATTTAATACAGTGACTGACATAACACTTTTAGTAATATGTGCTGAGGAGTATTTAAGATTATTATTGTAAACACTACCTTTCACAATTAAAAACATATTCTGAGTTGCTGGAGGCTTCTCTGACAACGATTTTATCACAGTACCAGTACTGGGGCTTGCTATTGGCCTCACAGTGCAACAGCACCTTCTGCAGCTTCCCAAGAGACACAGCTTCCACTTCAAAAACATTGACCTGGAGGACAGAGGAGACAGCACTGTGCAATTTGCCACTACTAAGGCAGGCTGAAAACCGACATATTTTAAAAGCCTGATTAGCTCTCACAATGTACAGATTCCCATTGGTTTTAATGACAGCTGGACTGTATCCAAGCATTTTGGATCTGAAAAGTTAAATGTCATTTAGTGACATATCAGAGTAAATGAGAAATCACAACTGAAGTCAAGCTGTAGTAATAATCCCAAATAAATTGTTTTTTTTCAGCCATCATCCAAAACACTGCACACACCCTTCAATATTGTTTCAATACCTTGCCATTTCCATTACTCTTCTCTAGGTAAGAATGAGTCGAAGCTGTTATTTCCCTTGCTGATATTTATTTGAAACACACTTTCTCATCCTTTTCTCTTTTTTTATCTCACCTCCTCTATTTACATTTTATTCTGCTGAAGGAAACTGAAATTTGACATGCCACTCTCCCCTTGTTATCCATTTAGGTTTGTGCTTACAGTTGGAAAAGATTGTTTTCATAGGAGCATGAAGCTGCTCAGGTTCAGGTTGATGATTTTCTGCCACAGTAAAAAGTGTACAGCTTTCTCTCTCTGAATGTAATGGTCCAGATCACTCTTCTCAGTAAAAAGAAAATGAAGGAAAGAAATACACTGGAAAATTCATACCTATAAAGTTCTCAGTCCTTGGCAAATGGCAGAATTGAGACTGCCTGTGCAACACTAGTTATCCCTTGTGTATAGGTAATATATGATCACAAGCTATTCTCTCTGAAAGACTCCTGCCTCAACGTGTGCACGGGAGGACTGCAGTTTTTCAGTATTTCTGTTTATCCTCATTATCTTTATGACTCTATGCATTATTTACAGCAATCACCCAAAGAGCTCAGTGAAGCAGAACTGATTTCCCCAATGACTTCACCTTTGAACTTCTTCCAAAGCACCCCAGTTTTCTATAAATGTTAAATCTGTGGTGGTTTTTTTTGAAAGGCCATCTTCGTATTAATTCAATTTACCTATATAGTTAAATCACAGAGTTTATTGCCAAAAGCTGCCAAAGATGCAAAGTGCTTTGGGTGCTCAACTGAGAAACGGAGTGGTGAATTTATTGGCATTTCAAAAAGCTTCCTAGGTGCAGAGCAGAATTCTATTTGAACGAATCTCAGTTACAGCTATGGCTCTTCAGAAAAAATTAAACAGGTTATTCAGCAAAAGATAAGCATGAAAAAAGTGGTTGTTCAGCAAAGCTTTATTTTAGGTGATCTGTCCAATATAATGTAGAATATCTGTGGCAGGGATGAAATCAAGTTGTTCAAGTCAGCACTCAACTGCCTCTGCCATAAAATGATGTATCCCAGTCCCTGTTCTGCTGCTCTAAACAATCCACTGTCTCATTCACCCATTTCCATAACAAAGTGCACTTTGAACCATTCCTCTTAGCCACTGTATAAATAATATGCTGAATTTACTATCAATCTGGCTAGAATAATGCCCCCCAGAAAATTCCACTTAAATTCTGAATTTTAATTTCAATAGAACTTTATCTCTCATACATTAGTAATGGCATAAAATATAGATTTTAAAATAGTATAGATACATTTGAAGTTTCCCAGTGGGTTATTACTATTCTTAGAATTTTAGAGATTGCTTTTTGTTTTGTAAGTAAGTGTTCCAATAACAGCTTGATACTCTTGGTTATACATGCAAATGTTAATCCTCAATAGCTCACGAAGGAAGAAACAGGCTTGATAGAAGGTCACAAGAAGGCTACTGGTAGAGTTAACATTAAATTTAGTAGCTCCTGAAATTCAACCATACTGCAGAAAATCAGGCTGATAAAAATATTTTATTTATGGAGGAGCTAGGACATAATTAATTGAAAGAAAAATTACTTCAGATCTCTCCTGTATTAAAGCTACACTATTAGACACTAAAAGAAATAAATAACAAACAGATCTACTAAGATCTGACATCATGGAACAATTTCTGTACACGTATTTGGAGCCAGCTGTAACTCATCATACCTTGAAAGGATATGTTTTAAATTCATAGGCAGCTCTTCTCATCATCCTGAGATGGAGCCTCAAATAATTTTTCTTTCCTTTTTCCTACCTGTGTTTTTATTCATTCTAATAATTCCTGGATCAGTAGAAGACTATTTTTCTTAGTTCTTTATTTTGATAAACCTCTGATCTTTTTTTTTTTAATAAGGAACCTGTTTAAGACCTGTATAAGTTATTAATTATGCTTTTATGGCTAAGCAAATTGTATTTCAGACTTACCATTCTTCTCTGAAATGTCACTGGCATACCAGTTTTATGCAGAAGTCGTAGACCAGAATCTCCTCTTTTTCCATAGATGCACAAATAAACTGCAGTATCTGTATCAGCATGCTCCGAGTCACCGGTGTAGACATAAACATGGTATAAAACAACTTCCAAAAATAACCAAAAGAAGAAAATGCAAGTTACATGTAATCACAATTAGTTTTACTCACTATTATAGCTTAGTGATAACAATGCCAGCAAGTCTGATTTGTAATTAATTTTCTGGAATATACTCCAGAAATCAGTCCAACTATCTGCTTTTAAGACTGCTAAGACCACAATTCAGACACCATTAATGTTGAAAACCAGATGATTAGTATATACATAACTGTACACACGTACTTGGATAGATAGGTTTTCCAGCTTCCACTACTGGAAGTTCACAGAGAAATCCTCTGCCATCACAATTCTTTGATAACCGTGTGTTTGCTGGAAAATTCAGTGTTTTCTTGCTCTTTAGATGTTGCAGCGTCACCTGGAGAAGAAGCAATTCCAGCTATGACTCAGTACACTCTTTTCAGTGCCATGCTTCTCAACAGCAAAACATGGGTTTGTACATCTTTTTTTTCTATCTCAGAAAACAATAACACAAATTGCAGTATCAAAATATATTTATTTTGGCTGCTACTTTGCAACAAAGAAATCTGTAACTGAAATTTGTGGGTTTGCCATTAGAAATATTACCAAGTCTGATTTCTGTCCGTGAATCGTCTCTATGTAACACTGCCTGGAGTACTGAAGACTGAAAATCTTCTGATAGGTGATGTTAGGTCAGACTGAGCTTTTGGAAGATGTGGAAAGATTGACACATTTTTTATTTTAAAATGAAAACAGGATGAAACTCATCATCTACATCCTTCTGAAATTTGGCAAGTAGAGGATATGTTGAAATCTTAAATCAATTTGTATTATATTTGGCTCTTTCACAGCAGAAAAAAAGACAACCTGTGTATCACCACCCTCTATATATTCCTCTGAAGACGATTAGAATTCAAATTCTCAAGCTATTTGCCTATGTACATTTTGATAGCTGTCTTACTTGTTTCCTATAACTAAAAGTCATTACTATCTTCTATGAAAACAGTTTTCATTAGTCTTGAATTACAAGAATGTTTACTAAAGGTTTTTTCCATAGGCCTTGACTACCAAAAGGAAAGCAGTACCAAAAATTATCTTTCTGCAGTTGTACTTCGAGTATGCATATAATATGCATAAGCCTTGCAAACAAAATTATGAAAACAAGTATTTATATCCAAATTCTAAGACTTAGGAAATCAGAGCAAAAGATACCTTTTTCTCAGTTTTCCAATAAAATATTATTTCAAGTAAAATGAACACTGCTTTTAACACCAAAGCATGTATTTATTCTAATATGAAATACTTTGGCGGCACTGATTCCTAATCTCCAATATTTATTGGCAGAGCTCCCCCTGCTGATTCATAACAATTGCAAATATTAACTGCTTTGTCAGAAAAACACAGCTCTCAACATGATTTCTTTTTCTCTGTGAAAAGAAGTATTTGAAATCCCAGACTTACCCCATGAAATTTGGAACAAAATATTAAAGAAATATTTTGTAATCACCAGGCTGGAAAGTAGGACTCCTGCAATCATTTAAGCAACTGAAATATTTATACTTACATTCAATTTTGGTACAGTTACAGATGAGAGCTTTATGTTAATGTAAAAAAATCTGTTATTACTGTCTAATTCTGGTTGTCTAAACAGGCTTTTTAAGATTACTCAAATGACAAAGAATAAACTTGTTTCCTTTACAGATTCAAAGAAACAGAAGACAAATATTTATCCCAGCTCTGAAATAAATTTTATATGGGTGTCAGTGTTAACAAGAATTTCTCATAAATTAAATCTGGTGAGCATCCCTAAACAACACGAGAAAAATAGAGCTAAAACAAAACAAAGAAGAAGACTTAATTCACCCAATTGAAAAAAATTAGCAAGTTTTTTTTCCCTTGAAAATGGTCATAATTGTGAGCTGTGGTGGGGCCCATTAGAAGTTACTTAGCCTACTCTTAAGCAAACCTTGTTCATTCCTTGCATGTAGTTGTCATGGAATAATTGCTGCATCATTTTCAATCTTTCAGAACTGGAATTTATAGCTAAAACAGACACTGAAGAGTACAAACAAGCTTTGAGAAAGTAAAACTTGGTTGAGCCCAGCAATAAAAGACACAATAAAATTGGTGTCTTCATGAATTAGGAATAATTGCAAAATAATCTTACATATTTCCATCTCTTAGGAGATGGACTGTGTCAGTGTTTTTGTCATCTCTAAAGCAGTCTAAGAACACAAAGCAATAATAACTTATCCCAATCAGCATTTATTGATTCATGAAGCTATGGCTTTATGAAAAGATGGGTCTTTAATTCACATAAAAATTATTAAAATGGGAAAAAAATCAACATTAAAAAAATCTTACCCTTTGTAAGTTCCACTCTGATTGTTCATTTGGTAATCCATCAAATTCAATTCTTATCTTGTAGATTTTCCCAATGCTTTTTATTTCAACCTGAATAAAGTCAGAACAATACAATGTATAACTACATAAAATTACATATATTTCTTTGCATTGGTTTGAGATTTCTCTGAACCATGGTAGCATCTGAGTGTACAGGAACAGCACATAATATTTGATTGGCAGATTTTGGAGTACAGGATCCAGAAAAGAGACTGCTTATGTTTTGTCTGAGCAGATTTCTGCCTGAGCCCCAGTTTGACCAGACATAGCCTAGTGGAACCACAATGCTTGCCAGGAAAATGATTTGAACTCTTCAAAGTTTGAAGAGTACAAAAAGTTGGTGAGGGTCATTCATGAGAGCAACGAGGAATACAAAATTATATCCCCTAAACTACAGGTCACAAATCTTTCATAATGCAACACAGTAATATCACCATAAACCTTAGTATGTCAAAATGAAGGATATAAAAAGAGTAAGCTCCCAAAAGCTGGCAGAACATCTGCAGAACTTTGGAAGTCACCAATACTACCTTTTCCTTCTGACTATGATTTGTATTCATTCACATTTTCTTTGTACTTTCAAGCATTATATGTGCTTATGAAAACTAACATAGAGTAGCAACTCTATCTTCAAAACTTCAAATGAACGCCCACTTTGAAGTTTAACCATTATTTAAAGCAAACATAAATAATTTTAGATCTTTTGTAAGGTACTGCTACAAAAGGAAAAGTGTGTTATCGTGCTGTTTCTCGAATAATAATTCTATTCGTAAAAAGTTGGTAACAGCCTATTCCTCTCCATCATTTACATCCTATTTACATTGTACAAAAATTGTTTTCATTCTCTTAGAAACACATATTAGCACATTATCAACCCAGTCTTTATCTTTACTAATGAAAAGTGCTCTTCTCTTTTTGGAGGTCAGAATTACCTCATTTCCTATATCAGCTTTTGGCTTTTTGCGCTTCTGTATAATAAATTTTTGCATTATAGTGACAGCATTGCCATGCTTTAGTCAAAGAGTTCTGAAATCAAACAATTTTAACTTCGATTTCCTGAACATTGAAATTCATATTGAAATCTCTCAGTGGTTGTTTGAGAAAGAATCTGTGGGTTTAACACCTGCTATTTGTATTGGTATAGTTGTTACATCAACTTGAATTTCGTTAACAAAATTTCATTAACAAAATAAATGCAACACTGATGTGACAATATATTCCCTCTCTTTACCTCTGGATTAAAAAATTAACTTTGCTTTACTCTGTCAAGTCAGATTCTGATAGCCTTGCTTATGCTGCATAATATTTCTCTCTAAAAGTAATCTTATTAGAGGTGACCCGGAGACTTTGGGATTAAAGCAGTGGTAAAGTAAGGGTATATATTCAGCTTGACTGAAAAACCAGCTATTGTCTTTTTCCCCATTTCACAAAAAAACTAACCCAGTTCTCAATAATATGGGATGTGGTCTTCTCATTCATAGAGCAGGTATTCACTGAATATACAATGTTATCATATTGTCTGTTTATTCTAATGAATCCCTCTTTAGACGTACATGACAACTTAGAGTTACATGATAATTTCATGTATCAACACAAAACAAAATGTAGCAGACTTTGACAGAATGAAATGAGTGATTTCTGCCTCAAACAAGTAGAGGTCTTCCAGAAGACACACTCTGGTAAGCTTGATTTTTCTCATGCACAATCCTAAGAAGGATTAGACAGGCAATGACTACTTACATGGGTAAGGTAAGAAAGGGAAGGTCATATATGAATGGTTTTCATTCCTCAAGATAGTTCTACTCAAATTTTTCATAGTTGGGCATATTACTGATAAAGTGAAATGTTAAAGATTTTTACACTGATTCCAAATTGTCTTATTACAGCTTTTCAGAAACTGCTTTCTTACTATAACTCCTGGCCAGAGCTACAATTAAGTTGACTATGTTGAAAAATAAAATTTGGTATCCTCTGCTCTAGAATATATCAGTGAAAACATACCAAGTTTATGGAAATGGTAAGAAGAAGATGAAAATTTTTTTGTCTTACATTCCTATCCTCATTTCAAGACCTATTCTGTTAAACAAGTACAAGACAAAAAAAAAAGCTTAAAGAGAAAAAATAGAAGAAAGAGCTCTTACTCATGGGCCTTTTCTTTCTTTCTTTATCTACTTCAGACTAAAGAGTGAAAAGCATTTCAGTGACATTTGCTATTTCCTGCCTGAAAGCAATAGTGTCAGGGTGATGTAAAGAATCATAGCAGTAGCTCCAGGTGCTGAGAGAAAAATTCTGCTCTCTCACAAGATCAATATCTGCAGCACACAGCCATAATGGACCATATCTATTTTAGAGAAGAGAAATTGGTCCATCTCTTCAGAATGTATGGATTAACTTTGCAAACATGCCATTACCCAAAATTGCTTATAAATTATTTACTAATTAGGAGAGCAAGATTGACTGTGGATCATAATATATAGCCTATATGCTCAGAAAATGAACTTTATGATAGGTTATCTTCCTGCCTATGCCCTATTCATAGAGAGCATTATTATTAATATTATTGACATTAACAATCTTGGGTTGTGCCAAGTTTTTATTAGAGGAGTTGAGGAGTGCAGAAAAAAAATGTGAAGAATGTAACTTATGCTTTAGTTAGCTGAGGACAGCAATGTTACATGCTTCTCAGACAGAAAGATCTAAGTAAAACATAAATTTTAATACCTTTGGTAATTTCCTCTCAGCCTACCTAGACACAATTTCCTCATTACAATAGAGGTGGGGTTATCCTTAAATTATAGCATAAACCCTGAGTTTTCTTGACATGATCAAATGTAGTTTTTATTGGACTCTTACTTGTTCCATGGGTAAATCTGGCCCTTTGGTCATTTATGATATGGCAGCTCTAAAAAGGGTTTTCTTCCTTAATTGAACCAGTTCCACAGCATACATTTTATAGTATGCTTTGAAAACTGTATACCTGAAGATTTAATTACTAAATGATATACTAGTCTTACATCAGGCACGGTTTGTCTAGAAATGAATAGTTTTTAAAGCTAGTTTCAAATTAATTGCCTTAAAGAAATCAATGTACTTCTGCAGTTATCTCCTTTGGTCAACTATATGAGAGAGGGGCTTTAAAAGAAAGCGTATTTCTTCAATGTTGCTTACGATATATAACAAGCTGATTTAATACACAATTCATGGAGATTAGATACAGATTTATTTTAAACAGTATATATATATATAGGAGAAAAACATTTTTTCTTTTCACATGACAGAATAATCCTTGGAAAGGTCTACATTAAAATAATGTTCTTAGCCTTCATTAGCTACCTGAAATTCGTCTTCCTGCCTGGGAAGAAACAGCTGTTTCCTGTTGTCCTCGCCAAGAGTTATTGGTCCAGCTACTCCTCTGTCTCCATATATCCAGAGAGCAACATTTGCTTCAGTTCCTGCATTTCCTGTCAGTATTGACACTTTCCATTCATCATCTGAAGGAAGGGAATGCTCACCACCTTGGAAATTTCTCATGTCCTCTGTGAAATACAGAATATTTGTGGGAGACGACAATTGACATGAAACTTCCAGTCGCTGTTGTAACTTCAGTACATAAAGAGGCCATAACAGCAGGGGGATTGTATTTTTTCATGGCAAGTGAGACAGTCTGAAAAGATTGATTTATGTTTCTTGTCTAGACCAAAATGTGTTGATTAGCTGAGCAACAAGAATCAACTGGAAAATAACAAGTTATCTCTCACATGCATTATCATCATAGTCTTTAAACATATTCTGAAGTAGAGTAAGGATGCTATGATGCAGAACTATGACCATTAAATTGACATTTCTGATTCCTTAGTCTGGCATTTAGAAATTAATAGAATTACTCCTCTAATACCTTGTGTTGGGACATGATTAACAGAGTCACATATCTGGGAATAGAGACAATTTGCATTTCGAATTTTAAAGAAAAATCAGGAAATTAACTTTCTTCAAGTTAAATATTAACTAAATACTGTAAAATAAATCAAAAAGGAGCTCAATATATCCTTGCCTAACCATACTTATGCATACAGTGCCAACATTTGGTCTAAGGCAGGCTGTACATGAATGAGACAACAACAGCACAGAACCACTTTATGAATAAATTTCACAGCTTTAACGGCTGAGCAAATATAATTTTGGAAAACATAGGCTTTCCTTTAGAATAGCACCTAGTGGTCTTCTATCTGCCTTTAAGAGAAATATATATATATGCAGAGATGTCAAATTATACCTCTGCATATGAGATATGAAAAAACAGATTCTGTTAGACTAAAGGAATTGGGTTTGAGTATTCTAGTCAAAGTGGAGTTTGGCTGGAACAGTACTTTTGAATAACTAAACCACTGACCATGGAATGCTCTCCAAAAAAGGGAGTACTTGCTGACAAGAATTTATAGTCTATTCTGACATGGGAGGCAGGTATAAATCCTAAATTTGAAAAGATGAACTTACACATTGTCTATATACTGTGTCCTCCAGGGATTCCCAAACTGTTCAATTTGAGAAGTCCTTTTCATGTGACTGTAAAGAGACTTTTTAATATGCCACCAGTATAAATTTGTTGAAGAATTCCCAAAACATCACTGTGCATGTTTCTGCTGCGCTACATAAGTCATGTACTGCTATTAGAGTCTTTTTTTTTTATTTGCTTGACTAAAATACTGCACTAGGTTTCTCTGGGATGGAGTTTTTCCCTTGACTTATTAAACTGCCCTTACATCAAAGGAAAAAACAAACAAATAAACAAACCTACAATCTAAAGAAACCAAAAAAAACAAACCCGAAAACAAACAAACAAACAAACAAAAAACAAAAAAACCCACAACAACAACAACAACCAACCAACCAAACAAACAAACAAACAAAACTCCCAAACTATGCAAAAGCTATCACTCACTAACAGTAGAATGATACCAAACTAGTCCCAGAGGAATGACTATTTTGAAAAAACTCTGCTCCAGTTCTATTTGTGAGCATGACAATATAAGGGACAATATCTCTGGTCAGTTGGGGTTAGCGCAGAGTGAGCAGAGATGGATGGACTCTGCTCTGCAAGTGATGCTCAGCAGCAGCTGAAACACTGGTGTGTTATCAACACTGCTTTGGTTACCAGCCTAAAACACAGCATCAGACAGACTGCTAGGAAGAATATAAGGCTCATCCCAGCCAAGCCCAGTACAAATACTAAAAAAATAAAGCAATACCTATGATGGAAATTTGCAAAATTTATCTGATTCTGCTTTGTTGCTAGCATTAAAAAATAAGTTTGAATCCTTGAGACTTGCTTCTTAATAAACTTTTATGAGCAATAAATCCCACATCTTGATGAATCATTGCTGAAGCAAATTGGGTAAGTGAAGAAGCATTGATTCAATATTTCATGTTCCCTTTAAATTTCCTCAAATACACTTTTATGATATTAACCAAATGCTTTTTTCTTTCTTCTTAAAAATTGAAATAACAGAACTACAACAAAGTAATTGCTTTAGTATAACAAATATTTTTGAGAATTTGACTATACAACTTTCTATAACTTTAGTTACCTAACTTCTTACTTGTAACTCAGAAAGCTAGAGTTCCTTCCAGCTATCTAAAACCACATCTTTCTTACAGCAAAGAGATTAAAATGTTCATAAAATGCACAGATATTCAAGAAACATAAGGAATCCCAGGCTACTCCACATGCTTAGGACAAGAATTCCATACTCTGGTGACTGCTACCCAAAGCAGTTACTGCAACCTCAAACTACTACCACTTGGAATAATTTTAATGCATAAACAGTTCACAGACTTAGAATGCTTTTTGCCTCATAATTTACTGGCTCTTCGTACAAATGGAAATCGGTTGCATTGATTTGCTACAGGCTAAAAATATTGCTGTCTGAAAAGAGGATTTGATGGTTACCCTGCATTAGTCATGAGAGTTTACACACTTCATGACACCATGCTGTAAATCTATTGCAATAAAAATTCATTCTGATAGGCCTGCATGAGAATGATGAAGTCACAACCCTTCACACATTATTTCATAAAAATAACCTTTTTTTAAAATTTACTTATCCTAAATCTAACATAAAAAGAAAATTATTTTGTCTCAGAATACCATTTGATTGAGTGACACTTTTAAAATGAACCATCAGAAAAATTAATCTCTAGAGCAAAAATTTGGGCAATAAAGTTGATGTATTTTTATTATACCTGTGTATCATTCTTTCCAAAGTTAACTGAGTGGAAATGAGATCAGATTTTATTTGATTCTTATTTGTTCTTGTAAGTAAAATATATTAAAAAATTAACAGCATCTAATAGTACACCAGGCATACAGGAAAGGAACACAGAGGATATAGAGAGCATTTCTCAGAGGTACATTTTGTTAATACCAAACCACAGAGATGTTCTCGAGGTCACAGACTGCTTTTGTGTCATGGAAGCTAATGACACCTGAGCTGTTAAGTAGAAGCTGTGACCTGACATCCTCTCTATACAGTGAAAGAAGTTTCTTGAGGAACATTGCACTCATACTGCAACAGGAGAAGCCCCAACTGCTGTAGCACAGTTTCCAGTTCAATTAATCCTAAATCAATTATTATTCGTGAAAACAGAAACCAAAACACAGGTTAGCAGACACAGACATAAAAATGATGGATTTAATTTACCCTGAGTTCAACTGCTAAGCCTTCTGCTGGACTGTATACTCAGTACAAACATCACCCTTTTTCAAATGCTAACTGGGAGTAAAAAAAGCAAATGAGAATTTAATGAATATGAGTTTAAAAAGCAAGGTTCAGCTGTACATATCAAAAGATAGTTACCTTTAAAGTATTTTGAGTGAAAATATCTTACTAAAAATGACCATTTTCTTGGAAGGGCAGAGTACCTTTGATATTTCTATTTATTTAGCACAAGCAGAGTCCACATTTATGAATGCCAGAAAAACTACTTACAAAGTGCTATAGACTCTATGTAACCAATTTCACTGCAGATATTGCTTTTATAAAAGGATCCTTTGTATCCAACCCTAAAAACATCCAGCTGCTTTGAAAAGAGGTTAAATGGCTTGTGTATTGTTGCCATGTGTTTCGGGCACAGCATATCTCATCACTTGCTGACAACCCACAACACTTCGGGAAGGCTTAGTGACACAGTGATACAACATGAAGTCTCATAGATTAGAAAGTGGGTGGTTTTGAGCTAAAAATGGAAACAACATTGCCAGAAATACATAACAGTAACTGATAATGATTCACGCCTATGTCTGGAATTTAACCATCCTCACTCTTTAAGAGATTTTTCATTCCCTGTTTTGTTTAGTTGTGTAGTTCCTTAAACACATTTTGTTTTGTTACTAGGATGATGAATATGTCTAAAACTGTTGTCTTAGACCTTTTATGCTACTTCTAAACCACAATATGTAGCTAAAGAAGAAAGCAGTTTATTCTAGAAAAACACATCACTCCAGAAGGATGACCAGAACTTTGTTTATCTGTTCCAACCTGCCAAAACATAGGTATAAAGCTATAATGCAATGAACCAAAGTCATCTTCTTTCCTCCAGTGAACCAAAAAGCTGAAAACATGAGTGTGCGAGACAGTATAAACAAGAAATATTCCATTACTTTCAGCAAGCTTTAAATTGGCCTCTGCACCATAACAACCCCTTAATTTCCATGGAAATAGTCCTCAGATAGATTACTAGTTCCTTGAAAAAAAAGTAATGCAAAGTTATTCAATTTACTGATTGCTGCCTTTTCAATAAACCACATTCAAATATCCTCTTAAAAAAACAACGACTGACAATGTTGTTTATGTTGCATGTATGCCTGTATGATTCAACAATCTAGAAAAGTCATTCATTGTCCTTCTTGAGATAAGTGTCTGCAAGCATGTACAGAAAGCAGGCTTAACACCACGCTGTATCACGACTAGTTTGTAACCTGTCACTTACTGGAGGATGGGGAAGTTGAAGGGCTTTGAGATACCAGCTTCTGGGCTTTTCCTGGTTGGAGCTGAGATTCTCTGAAGTCTTTCTTCTCTTGGTTGGGTGCTGCAGAGGTTCCCATAGGTTCTTCCCGGCCAACTAAAACAATGAAATATAAATTCTGTCACTAGCTACAAGCCGTTTGCTTTTTCTTGCTCAGAAACTACTAAAAGATCTCATTATTATTCAACAGAGTAGATATCAAAATCTTTTCTCTACATATTGCACAGCTAGAAGCAATAGGATTTTATTGTTAGCAGAATGCCACAAGAAGTGGAAAAAAAATCAGGCGTGCCAATTAAAGTCCATTCCATGCTTTGGAGATCTAAGTAAAAATTTAACAATGATGTATGAATAAAATGACTTGTTAAAATGTAGTTTTCCTCAGAATAAACTTCTCCACCTCCACGATGTTTCCTTTCTTAAGAGTGGGAATGCTGAAATGAAAACTGCTGAAGGCCATTTGAATAATATGAAGCAAATTGATATTGTTAAGATGAAGCAAACAGAAAATATTTATTGCTGTCATAGAAAATATTAGCTCCTTTTTATATTCCTTTTACTGAACAACAAGGATTCAGAAGAGCTGAAGCCTGTAACAAAGTAACATTTAGCTTTATTTTGTGACATTTCTATCAAAAACACTGCTCTTCCAAAATCTAACAAGGGAGAATAATTTCCTAATTTCTATGAGGACACAGTGATCAAAATATTTTTTTCACCTTGCAGCAAATAGGGACTGAACAGTAGGAATGCCATTGCAGTGACTTTCATAAGGCTTCTCTGTGTCTTGATCACAATACACATAGAGCAACTAGTAAGACTAGTTGTATGTTTTGATACTTTCTCTTTGCATTCAGGATAAGCTTGTTCCACTTGTGTTTGGAAAAAATCTGACCAGCTCCTCAGTTTCAAACTGATGTCCAGTTTAGCCTTTCCATGAGATGTTTCATTTCTTGATCTCTGTAGTCATGTCCACCAGATAAGAATATGGTTTATGTAGAATAGCACTCCCTGCAGTTATAATCTCAGTTAGCTGATTATCTTTGGTAACCAATTTTTCACCAAGTTAGAAACTTCATTCTCTTGAAGGAGAGAAGACAAGCAGGCAATCCAGGGACAGTGACCCAGAGTGTGCTGAGAGATAATTTCTGAGTCTTAGCTAGTTGACTAGAAAAGGTGAGCTCCCCAGTGAGGAAGCATTTTGACCACAATAGCTCTCAAATCTGACTATGGGACAGAAGAATGGCATAATGAATATACTAGTGTGGGGGACTACAGTATATTTCACATCATTAAAAAAGAAACTGAACATTGCCAAGTAGGTCCTCTTGAAAGACTACTAATTCCCCTATAAAATCAGGAAAGACTATGGTACACCTGGCAGCAAGACAACATCCCCCAGGCTTCCATAATCTGTGGGCAGAATGGGGAATACACATAAGAAATCAACTCCATCTCTATCTTTTCACTTATTTCGATTCTCATTTTCAAAAATCTACTAGTAAAACTATTGATATCTTCTGCATAATTTATTATTATAAAAAGAAAGTAAAGATAACTAAATACATGGCAGAAATTAAGTGTACATACAGTAAACTTTTAAAATTACTGAAACACAACAAGGAAAATTGTGCCCACATAACTTTTACACTTTTGCTTTGAATTTTGTTAGAAAATTAGAAAGACTAATCTCTAAATCAAACTACAAACCATTGAGAAATCACATACATTTGATGACCTGTGGGTAGAAAAAAATATTTCTCTCTCCAGTGTTAACGACTGGTTTAGTTTGGCCATCTGGCAGGAGACCAACATATATCCCTTTATTTTGCACTGATTCTAGACTTATAGATCCAGTTTCCAAATTCTTCTCAATTTTAAAGTGACAGTATTCATCACCTGTGCCCTAAGAAGTTGAAAACAAAAACATAAATAAAACAATCGAATTCATGTGGCTACAGGAGCTGGATGTTTCTTAAGTCTTAATTATTACTACTTTCCAATAACATTTCAGATTAACTTTACATTCCTCACAAGATGCTACATTATTACATGCATACCTGCACCTTATTCTTGTTTATTCCTTTGTGACCAGAAAGACTAATCACATAAGTTAGGTAAGTGAAGGACCAAGTGAAAGCATTCTGATTTATGTTAGAATTTAGGCAAATTCTAGGATATATTCAAAAGAGTTTCCCACTTCAACAACTTTCAGAGGATTAAGGAACGTGAAAACATTTATTTCAGAAAACGTATGATATTTATATACAGATTTTATAGATAGCACAGATTTGGTAATGCTACATAATATAACATCCATTAAATAGATGTAACTTTTTTTTCAAGTACATAGCACTTACAAGTTTAATTTCAAAACCTTTACCCAAACCCTCTTTTTATCCAGACCTCCTGATCCATTGGTGAAAGCATTGCTGAAAAATAAGATACTTGCAAAGCCTACATTCAAAATATGGATCAAATATTTTAATCTCTGAACAAAGTGCACTGGAGTCAATGACAAAACTCTCATGGACCTCACATTTGAGTACTTACACAGCTCTGTTTCATACTCACTTATCTTAAACTCCCAAAAAAATGATGCGAGAATACTTCTCACAGAAATATGAGAATTTTAACTTAGATGAACAGAATCACACTTTAAAAGTCAGTGCAGTATGCATTTACTTACATCTTAATTATTCTTTAATAGGTTTTATCTTCATCATTTATCTTGCAGCACATAAGTTTTAACTACATCCACATCCTCAATAGTTTAAAAATATAATCAGATCTTTAAAATCAACTGCCATATTGACACCGACAGCTTCTCTTGCTATATTTTTCTATCTTTTCTTGGACAAATGAAGGAAAATATCTGAAACATTTTAAATCTGAAAAAAGTTTTATCCCATTTTTATCCAACTAAGTAAAAAAAGATTCTCTCCTATCACTAACAATTTACTCAAACTACCTGCAGAGGGAAATACAAACAAGAACTACTTACTGTTCCATCACACTGGTCATCTTTGATCTTCAGGTACATTCTTGGTTTTCTCACACTTTCAAACATACAGAGTCCAGAGCCAATTTTATGCACCTTCCAGTAGGATTCCTGCTGCTTCCGACCTGCTCCACTGCAGCTCCCATCAGGTCTAAGGGACAGAGCTTGGCAGAGACTTGTGTTGAGCAGAATGATGGCACCATGATGAAACACACCCTTTACATCAGAGGCAAGAAGTCCTTTGTGAATAGCACAGCCTTTCTCCATACTAAACTGTGATACTGATATTGCTCCTACTGTTTTATTTTAAGCACTTACTCATGCATGTTCTTGTATAAAACATAAAAGAGTTAGTCTCAAGTAACTCAAGTATACCTCCCGTCTTTGAACATTTGCTGCTTTCTGTGCAGGCACTAACCAGAATAGTGGAAATCCTTTCCTACTCAGCAGCTTCCCTGCTTTTTCTTGCTCAGCAGCGCAGCACAACACCCAGAGCACAAGGAGTGCATCAAATTAAGGAACTTGTCTCTTCTCAACAGCAACTCTCCCGCGTGTACCTACATTCCTATTTTTCGAAGCTCTACTAGGAAGTTTATAATATCATCTTTCCTGTGTTACAGCCCACTCTATTTGCATGTACCAGCTGCAGTATCGGCATCACTCGTCCCAGGAGAGCAGTGAAGGAGAACTTGTCAAGTGCTGCCTACCTGTTAAGCTGTAGTTGAGCTCCACCTCGTGGAAGAGGATCACTCTTTTAGCTTGCAAACCTCTGACACTTGGCTAGATACAGTCTGCTTTATAATAGCAAATTTAAGAAGCGTCTTCTTAATTTCCCTCTGCCCACCTTACCTTGACATGCACAACAAACTCTTTGGAAATCCCAGCATATCCTGTTGTTTCATCAGCTACTTCGCCTTGAAGATTGAATGTCACAGTGTGACCTGGGTAGCTGGCTGACTCAAGAATGGCACAACCATTTGGTTGAAGGTGAACACGGAGGTTACAGCATGCCTTGTCTTTGCTCTAGTGTAGTCAAAGGAGGAGTAATAAATTAGATGAACTAATCCAAAATAGAGAGTATCGCAATGTAGTTTTTATATTGAGTTCCAACCATTCTACCAGTCTAGTACAAAAATTTTTATATTTCTCAGGTTTGCAATCCTAATGCTTAAGGCCTAAATTGTGGACTCTGTGAAATTTCACAGAAACAGCTCATTGTGAGAGGACACAGATCTGATGATAACACGAAAGATACCTGGGTGCCTCAATTAGAGAGTTAGAGTCACAGTTGATAAACATGGCAAAGAAGTATAAAACTGACATAGACAGGAAATGAACCACAGTAACTCTTGGCCACCATCCCACCTTCTCTTGCCTCTGAGTCCTCATTCATCTGTATTGTTCTCACAGAAAACCCTTAGAGAGTCAGAAGTTTTACACGAAAAAGTAAAGGAACACAGTCTCCATGCTTGTCTGTTCAGGTTTGAAGACTCTATGATCCCATTGTATAAAATACATAATAGAAAAAATACATATTTAAATATTTTATCAACTCCAACATCATTCTCATATTTAAATAAAGCTAGGATTTTAATCTATGTAAAGTGTTAATAATAACTCCAATAACTGAAAGTACTTCTGACTAACATCATCTAATAATTTTTCAGCATTTTTAAGACTTCAAAGAATAAATATTCCTAGGAAAATTTTTAATTTCCAAGGCACTACCTTCTGAAGAAAAAGTTTCATATTCAAAAAACTGTCTACTTAAAAGCAAAGGAAAAATTGTATGGATTTTGGAAGTAGTCCTGAAATAAGTGAGCCAGAATGTCCTCAAAGTATTTATTATAAGGCAAATCACAATTTTTGTGTTGCCATTTTGTTTTACATTTATCTATCTTCATTAAAGGACCTCAGAAAGTTTTTCATACTCCCTGGGAAAAGGAACAACTTGCACAACTAAAAATGAGAACATGGAGATCCAAATTCCCCATTGGTTGCTCAAAATTATAAAGCACTCTAGTAGCAAAACAGAAAACAGAAAGTTCAAATTTAAGTACCCAGTTAATAACCTCTCTGTAGTAAGATATACTGGAATATGATGGCCTGCAACACTGACAGACTGGAGCTCTCTGTATTAGAATTATAGTAATGAACATGAACAAGTCCTGCAAGGAGGTCTTGACACTTTGCCTGGCAGCCTGATGCTATCCCCACTGAGGAACCTAACTCTACTGAGAATACTCTATTCCCCCTAATGTCAGTGTACATCATGTAAAAGAGGAATGGGACCAGCTTCCACTATGAAATTATTCACTGCATAGATAAAGGGAAGAAATTGAAAAAGAGAAAGGAAAACAGCTTCTTCCCTCATCAGTAGGAGAGTTTTGTTTGCTATTAGAAAGTGTCCAGATGGTGAAGGGTCTAGAGAGGAAGCCATACAAGGAGCAGCTGATGTAACTTGTTTTTTTCAGCCTAGAGGAGAGACTGAGGGGAGACTTCATGGCCATGAGAGGAAGCATAGGGGTAGGCACTGATTGCCTCTCTCTGGTGACCAGTGACAGGACCCAGGGCAATGGCATGAAGTTGTGTCAGGGAAGGTTTAGGTTGGATATTAGGGAAAGGTTCTTTACCCAGAGGGTGGTTGAGCACTGGAACAGGCTCCCCAGGGAGGTGGTCACAGCACCAAGCCTGATAGAGTTCAAGAAGCATTTGGACAGTGCTCTCAGGCACATGGTGTGACTCTTGGGGCTGTCCTGTGTATGGCCAGGAGCTGGACTTTGATGATCCTTGTGGGTCTCTTCCAACTCAGGATATTCTATGATTCTATGATCATAAGGAAGGAACTAAATCCTACAACTCCATTTACCTACTTGTATACTGCAAGTGATGAGAAAAAAGGCTTGGAAGATGGGATGAAACAAATCAAAATGGATCAAAACAAACCCTGGACTGTATCAATTGCTTTATGACTGGCATGTTACTTAGAAAAGACACAAAGGAAAAATGAACATTTTAAATCAAGCTGTAGATTTTATGCTTATCCAAATAATAGGATATATTAGGGCATTCCAAGTAGCTTGTCAGTATGTGGCAAGCCAATAAAAATGACAGCTTGGAATGGTCTGGTATTCCTGCAGCAAATCATTTAGTTAACATACCCTACAAAAGAGTAAAAAGTAAACTGTGAGAAAACAAAGCCTATGTCTAAATTCACCTATTCATTGTCGATTTCCTGGATTTAATTCTGCAATCTTTCACTCCTTATCTGACTGGAAGTACAATTATTTACTAGACAGATTTAAAAAAACTTTATTTTTAATCAGACAATGACATGTAACTATGAAACAGAAATCAGTAGCAGCATTTCCTACCTTTCCAGTTACATAGCCATTGACAAGAGCGAGAGCAAGATGTGGCATCTGATGACTGCTGAACATATAGATATTTCTCCTTTTGACATTTACATCAAAAAAACCTAAGAGTTAAATAAAAAAAAAAAAGGTTAGAAGTATGAAAGTATATTAATTCATACTTGCATTTAATTACAATCAATGGTTTATCATTTTCAAGGGAAAAGAATTAATTAAGTGCTTAACTCCACAGTTTGACCTCTCTGATCAATAAATTCTCTCATTCATTCAGGAAAGGGCATCTAGGGACTGCTGTCTATTTTGCTGCCTTGAGGAGGAAAACCCTGATGGCTAATGATAAGGAACAAATTTCTTTTTATCATCGTATATGTTTAAAAAAAAATCCATAAAAAGGAGCTGAGAACTCCAGTATAGTGAGCTGGGCTATAGCAATGAATTTAGCTGATAAATAACAGATGATGTAGGGAACATAAAGCTCTCAAGTAGGAAAAGAGAATTCATTTTCTCAATATCCATATTATAATTTGTAAAGCAAATCCTGTAGTGTAGCTCAAGGCTTCTAAAATTTTAAATCTGGCCAATTTTCCAAACAATTACCTCTTATAGCTACAAAATACTGATGAAAGGTGAAGCAGTGCCATTTTTATTGTTCCCAGCAACAACAGATGATCTTTTAAGTAACTACCAGTACATTATGTTGCCTATTTGTTGGATGCAGCTGTCTCTAGAGGACTCCTGTGGTGTCCTGATGCCCTCTTTGGCATGTCCAGATCTGTGTAAGGACCCTGGGAAGACATCAGAAAGGCTGAACAGCTCCATCACTAAAAAGGTAGCAAAATACGTGTGCCTAATATATGTTTTACAAGTTAGTAACGCAGTAGGATGAAAGCTGATAAAGGGGAGGAACTGGTAGACTACCATTAAAATCAATTACGAGAATAGAATAAAATGAATTTACATATATATGTAACCACACACACACACACAAATATATATATATATACTCCTTGTTAATGAACCATACCTAGAATTTCGAATTTGTTAGCTTAGATAGATCTAGGTGCAAAAGACAGTAACTGTTCTTGCCATGTGAGTTCTGTGGGAGCGCTAAACTGCAGACGACAAAAAGTTTCTCTTTAGTAAGAGAAAGCCAGTGACAAGACACTATATGAGAATTTTTATGTGTGTGTCATCTTTATGTAAAATAGACATGTAATTTCTGAGTTCTTATAGCCATTAATACACAGATTAGTACATGTATTAATATTTTGAGTAAGGAAAATTTTGAGTTTTATAATTATCTACTCCTATTCATTATAGTAATATCTATATTAAAGTCCTCCTTTCTTGTTTCTTTTATGCACAAATCCACATGAAAAATACTTTACCATATTTGTTTTTCTTTTGACCAAGAGCATCCACTCTGCTATCTGGGTTGAGGCAAATGAAGCCATGGGTGAGCCTGTTGTAAAATTGAAGTGTATTTCCTTTCTGAAATTTCCACTTCTCAGCAGCCCACTAGTTTTGTAAACAACAAACAGAAAAGACTTACGAGAAGATGATACACAGAAATTTGTCATACAAAGCATTCAACTGACCTGATTCACTCAAAGCATAATTTGAATGTTTTAAATCAAAATAAAAAAGTGCATTCTTACAGTTTCTTCT